CCAGGCCCCATATCAGCTTTGTGGCCCTCTGCTGGACTCTTTCCAGGAGATCCCCGTCTTTTTTGTATTGGGGAGCCCAGAACTGGACACAGTACTCCAGTTGAGGCCTGACCAAGGCAGAGTAGAGGGGGAGGATCACCTCCCTTGACCTGCTGGCCACGCTCCTTTTAATGCACACCAGGATTCCATTGGCCTTCTTGGCCACCAGGGTACACTGCTGGCTCATGGCCAACCTGTCGTCCACCAGGACCCCTAGGTCCTTCTCCTCAGAGTTCCTCTCCAGCAGGTCGTCCCCCAGCCTGTACTGATACATCTGGTTGTTCCTTCCCAGGTGCAGGACTCTGCACTTGCTCTTGTTAAATTTCATATGTTTTCTTCCTGAACTTCATTTGGTTTCTTCTTTAAAGATGCTGACTATACAGCAATTTGTACACTTTGCCACTTTTCTATTGATAGAACAACTTGAAATCTGTCACAAATCACAGATTAGAAACAGAATAGCACCAAGCCCAAAGGAACCTCTCCATTTGCCATGAGTCCTGGAAGGGTGACAGGACAGGATGTGACCCAGTAACCATTGCACTGGCAAATGCCCCTGCACTGCTTACATGGCTACTGAGTTGCTTCATATGGGAATTCACAGATTTACCCAAACAGAGATGAAAGCCTGCAATTAAAAGTGATAATTAACAGTCTCTGACTTGCGTGTGTAGAATCTCCTTGCATAGTTGGATTCAGTGATTCTTTGTTCTCTGGCTAGAATCCAGCTTCCTAAATCCCTGACAATAGTATTTCTAAATATGAAAATTCAGCAGTATGTTGATCAGGGAAATGCTGCCGTGTCACCATACTTTACAACACGATTGCAATGAATTACTCTTAAACTGTACACAATCAAAAAAGATAACAAGCATGATTATACTGAACTTACTTCACAAACACGTTTACAATATTGAGAACAGCCATGGACTAATTCCTCTCATGACTTCTCAATTCTAGCCCAATCTGTCAGTGAGCAAAAAGCCACACATGCATGTCAAAACTTCTATACCTCCATCTGTATAAAGGGAATTTATTTCAGGTGCAACTGAAAACATTGCATTTTCAGAGGCTCAGATGTTAAGGCTCAGAAAAATGAGCCTTAACATTTTTCACAAAACAGCAATGAAAACTGTCCTGTAAAGATGTCATTGTTCTGCTTCCATTCACACATGCTTGACTTTTTCATCATTTTGAATAGCTTAAGTTCTTCATGAAGCTTCATTGCTTCCACTGACAATACTTCTGCCTTTAGTTTTATGTTGTCTTCTATGGCTTTTGAGTAAATCACACAGCTTTGTATTGAATTTCTGCATTTGGGGATATTTCATGTGAGTAACTTCTCATTTGGTCAACTTTGGAAGCTTTCTGTCCACATTATATGCCATGGTTATACTGAAAAGACAAGACAGGAACAAAAAAAAATAATCTCAACTGTGTAAGAAAATGACAGTATTTTGGATTTTAATGTTTTTTGAAGATTCATATTTGCTATTTACAATAAAGCATCTGAAGAGAACAAAATTTCCCTGGAAAAGTTTACCACTGTAGAATTTTTCCTATGTTTTTGAATGGCAAGATGACCTACCTGGGAAGTGACATAATAGGAAAAAATGTCAGCCACACACTTTCCAAGACAGAGTTTTTTTTCTTTTCTTTTCTTTTTTTATGTTCAAGAATTGTTGGGCAGAGGAGCATGTTGATGGTAGATGCTTTTAGGATTCCACAGGAAAAAAAAAAAAAAAAGAGAAAAAGGGATGCAATCTCCCAAACTCTCACCACAAAAAGCAATACAGTACAAGATGAGAGATTACCAGGTGAAGCATGGTTATCAAAGGAAGTGGTGTTCTAATTACCACAGGCTGAAAATCATGTGGAAAATCAGCCCTGGCACTCTCATATATGGGAATGCTACACAGATGACAAATGCACAACGTATATGGCTCAAGTGACTACCTCCCTGCCCCCTCCTTGCACCTCGACAGCTATGTAACAGTGGCTCTCTATGGGCAAAAATAGTGAAATATAGGGATTTTGGAAAGCAAGCACAGAGCTGCAGAGATCTACAAAATACATTCCTGGAACAGCCTACTTCCAACAGGCTCTAGGTACTTCACTTGAACTCCTTTTAGAGAAAATGCCTGTAATTGAAAAAGTTCCTCTGTTAAGGGAACCACAGGAACATCTACACGGTAATCACAAAGGGTTAAGACCAAAGCGGGGGAAAAAAGTGCAAAGCTAAAAATAATACACAGGATATATAGAAAAATCAAATTGTTCTAGTTAGGAATCAGTCTTTCTAAACTATCACAATTCCCAGCAACAGGACGCAATCTTTAGTTTTCCATGATAACTTCCAAATGTATCCTCATCAGTGTGGGAAAGGGCCTTTTGTTTCTCCAGGTGAACTGAAATCCCTCTGCCTTTTCTGCTTGAGGCAGTGAATCCTTTTTGTAATAGTTACTAAGTCACACTTCACTACTTCCAGACCATAGTAGGACTGGAATTCTAAGGGACTGAATAGTGCCCATTAGAATAAGTAAGATTTTAATCAGTGACATGATCAAGCCTCAATTGCTTCTCAGAGCAGGCAGAACTGGCAATCCTCCACAGTCCTTCCAGGAATGTCCTGAGGTTTGTTGTTTGCAGTCCTTTGTCTGCAAGCATGTTACTGTTGAGAGGTTTGAGGCATAAAACAATGCCCAATTCTTTGATGTAGTGTTATAGTCCAGTTCTTTTTTAGGAAGTTTCTTTCTAGCTACTGAAGTATGTTTAGGAACACAATTTGTTCCTGTGGCAATCAGCAAGAATTTTGCTGTTCTCCAAATAGAGCAGGAACAGACTCCCTGTCTGCAACATCAGGCACCCCAGCATTAACTGACAAAATTGTGTGGGCCTGCTAAGCTTCACTAGTGTGAAAAGGTCAGTCCACAAATCAAGAGCCTCAAAGGGAGAAGCGTGCAGATTCTTGCTGGGGCTGCTACGCGTGCAGAGGCTAAGTCCCTCCCTGCCTTATCCCAAGAGAACATCACAGAACAGTACCTTAGCTTACACTCTGAGCACACCACTTGGTGGGTCTGCCAGGCTGTATCGCTTGCTAGTGAAAAAGCAAATCAGTGTAATACTAGTCAGGTGAAGATAAGGCAGTTTAGATGTAGCATCAGCATCAAAAGGTTTAGATGCTATCTGAACTCATGTAAGTACTTAACGGCTCCTCTCTGTAGGCTTTATATATAGGCAAGGGATATTGAACCGTAAAATAGGGAATGATCTCTGTTTTGCTTGCTGTGTATCAGTTTCGTGGGGGTGTGTGGAGTTCATCTTCCTTGCTTCTATTTTGGTGAGGAGTGTTATATGCACCTAGAGTACCAATAAAAGCAGAAATCCTCTATCACAGGAACTGCTAACATAGAAATTTGCCTATATTTTTCCCCACCATAACCAAGAAAAAGAAAAAAAATCAGAGTTAAAGCACTGGAATTAAAAATCAACTGCTCCAAAGGTAGCACTACGCTGCCATTAGATTTTCAAGATGGCAAAGGCTTTTGAAGTCTGTTGGATATTACCTGGATGGCAAAGCAAAGACATGATATGGCAAGGATAAACAGTTTGTCTCTTTCTTGTCTTTTGCCTCTCTGTCTAGAGAAGTCAGTCCCTCTGAATTAAAATTACACCACAGACATTTCCAGTCACCAGAGGATGAACTCTTTATAATTGAAGCTAAGTAAGGCACAGAAGACTTCATACTGGGTAACCCATAGAGGCCAGCAAATAGCTTTGTCTTTGTTTTCAGAGCCTTTGAAAGGAATCCTTTTGTTCGATATTTCTGAAGCAGTAAAGCAGTCTGGTCTGCTCCCTCTCAGATTTGATTCAAACTTCTGTGATTTAGCTTCTGCCTTTACTGGGCTTCTGGTGACTATTAACACCATTGTTTCTACCCAAGTTGCCACTATCTAGATCAATCTTTTGAAATGTCAGTCTTCACAGAGTGCCATATTTCTTCCCAAATTTTTAAGTCCTTATAAGCCTCCACACATTCAGGAGGCCATACCATGTTCAGCAGGACTTTGTGAGAAGAAAGATTTGCTTTGCTCTTCAGACTTCCTATAGTCTGTATCGCAGAGATGCACAAACTGATCACTAGCTGGGCCCTACAACTACTGACTCCACTATTAGTTCGAGCAGTAAGGACTCCACTATTCGTTTGAGCAGTAAGATGATTTGAAAGTAACAAATTTGAGCTGGTGTCTCCTTTCATCTCTCTATTTTGTAAGTAGGAAACAGATCCAGGTCCAAAATTTCCAAACTCACCAGTGAATTTGTGCATGTCAACTTGCAGGTGCACAACATCAGGCATTTTAGAGACCTGGGCTTTTCCCCCTCCAGGTACATTTTAAAAAAATAAATCTTTGAGTTGTGTCAATTTCGGGCCCTAAAATTCTAAGTCACTTTGAAATCATTGTACAGAGTTGATTAAAAATAAGGCAAGTAAATGAAAGGATCGAAAAGAGATTTCTAGATCTTCTCATGTAAGAGATCTCATCTTTAAGAGGAATAAAATGTCTCAAACACAAGAGCTTTATTTCACCTTCCAATAATATGCAAAAATACTTTTTTCATCAGAATTTAGCTGTCAAAGTCAGATAAAGCAAAAAATGCAAATCTACCATATAAAGCAGAAAAGCGGGCAGTTTAATAAAAGTCTGTTTTTCATCTGTAACCTTTCCTAGGAAAGAACCTTACCTCGATCTAAAAGCCTAGTTTATCAGAAATCACCACTATCCATTTATAGGGTGACTTTGAAAAGTAAGACAAACAAAAAAACATAGCTGGACTTACCACCAAGTACATCATATTTTGAAGTGTAAACATCTTTATAGTAGTTTATCAAGAGCATAATTAAGCTCCCAGCTAGAACAATACAGAAACAGCTCTCATACCTTCCTAATGTCATTACTTACTGCTGTCAAATGTAGCTGTGTGCTTTATAAGATCAAAAACGGTACTTGGAAACTCCTCTGCCTTTCTCCTACCTACAAACACAAGAAAAGGAGAAAGAACAAATAAGTATTTAAAAAAAAAAAAAAAAAAAGATTCCACTTCATTTCTTTAGTGCTGGTTTGTGCCACTGACAAGCTCCTTCCCACTAATATGCACATTTTAAATTCATGATTACTCTATTTTTACATACAGAAAATTAGTACATTCACCCTGACAGCAAACATACATGTTCAAGAAAAGCAAGAATGAGACATAATTTATTTTCTAGCCCTTGAAGGATAGATATGTGAACTCTTTCTCTGAGAGTCTTCTATAAATATATTTAGCAAAAGAAATTTTAAGGTACTAGCATTAGAAGCAACTCCTTCAGTACCTCTTCACACTGATCTGTAACAATCTTACTGCCTCTCAGAAAGTGGCTAGAGATCATGCTAAGACCACAGTGACTGATACAGAAAAAAATGCTGCCTATCATTTCTTGTTATTGTACCGCAGTAGCGTTTTGCTGCTACAGCAGAGATCTCTCTGGGCACAACAGATTTTACACTGAAGATCCTACACTCCAAAAAAACAAGACTGAATGATAGATAATAGGAGGATGACAAATGGGGGAATGATGAAATATAGAGGTAAAGCAACTTGTCCAAAGTAGATCTGTTAGAGAAAGGAGCTCAGCCATCTCCACTAAATACTGGTCTTGCACATTATTCACCAAACCACCCGAGGGACTTCCAACACCACAGAAACAAACAGCACTTAAGTCTACTTCTACACGCCACCAAAGTTTAAGCAATACGTGGCTTCAGCAACACATAGCTTCTTGAATATAAACACTGCCAGAAGCATTTTTGTTTTAGAAAAAAAGTGTACATTATATCAAAGTTATGTTGGTATACTACTGAGTAAAATATAACATAAACCCATATCATCTGTACCTATGGATTTAGCCTTCACGTTTGCTTTTTTCTCCACTCCCTCAAATATAACATCTTTATCAGTAGCAGCTCATACACATAAAAATCTGTTTACAAACCTAAGCAAATAGTGTTCTGAAAAACAACTCTAAATACAGACTTTTTATGAAATATCTTTCATAAGAGAGCCCTGCTATCAATATTAAAAAAATGAAATGAAGACCACCCTCCTCCTCCCCATCCCCCCACCCCCGGCAACTAGGGTCTGAGAACTGAATTGGAGTATCTGTTGTCCTTACTACCACAAGTAATAACAGACTGAACTTTGCAGAGGACATAAAGCACAGAATAAAGCCCAGTTCACTTTCAGTCTATCTATATTGACTGTGCAGCACTAAGTATTACAAATTTAGTAATTCAGTATAAGAACATAATTCAATGACATCCAAAGGAGATAAGATATTAAAGTATCATTTCTTTTTCTTTCTTTGCGTAGGGTTGTCATATATTTGCTTCACTAGTGCTGGTAATGGTCAGAAGGTCCTCAATTCCCAAGAAATGTTGTCAGGCAGATGTTTCACTACTGAGCTGCTAAAAAGACCAGAATACAAAAGGCAAGGTCACAGGTTTTGATTCCTTAGAATGTTTAAATAAATGCTTGAAGCACAATTTGTCTACGGATATGAGAGAACACTAATGCATTTGGAATGAGGCATATATGTTTTAGCACTTTGCTCAGCTCAGCTTGGGATAGACTCTTCCTCAGAGTAGGAAAGAGATACTTAATTTAAAATAGATACAGTTTGCTTAAAAGGAGCGTTTAAACAAAGAATAAAAATGTACACTTCTTACTAAAGTTCCCCTATTGCTATAACTTTCTACTCAAAGTGTTTATAATTGAACATCAATTAGACAGTATTTGTGTTTTGAACTGCATATTCTAAAACATTTCTTACACGCTCTCTTCCAACGCTTCTGTACAGAACACTACATATTAAAACGTTTCTTGGAAAACTATGAAAATTAGTAGAACTGTTTCAGATGTTTAACTTGACATACAGTTAAAAGTGTGTTGCTCATTTTCTCTCTTTGTCTCTCTCCCTCCCTGCCTCCCTCTCAAAAAAGCTTTTAATTCCGTCTCTGGTTGCAATACTAAGGCAAGTGATAAAGACTGTCATTCAATTTTAATCTTTTCTTTCTTTACTATTGTATAACCTTGCCAGATGTATACTCTTTGTCATAGTAGGCATTCCTACAAATTTAAATCTGCCAAAGAGTCACATTTTTACCTGAATCTGATGGAGTTAACCTGAGACAGTAGTGACTGGTTGTTAGCATAAATAGGATTAGAATTATCGATTTCAGATGGATAACACTACACATTACCCAAAGACCAAGCAGGACTGTGCTAGGTTGATTAAGACTGAAGCTAAAGAAGGAAATTTTCACTTGGATCATGACAGAAGAGGAACATAAAACACACATTTACTACTCATAACAGAAAACAACACATTGAAATTTAACAGTACTTCATCTCAGAAGAATTGCTTGATTAGCTCGGAACACTTTGCAGGTATGAGTGGGCAACGTTTCCTTTTTGAGACACAGTAGGATATAAAGAAGTTATGAGGCCTGTCAAGGTCACACCACAAGAAGGTGACAAAGTAAAACAGTGCTCTACCTGTGCTCTACCACAACTACAGAGAAGGCGACACCCAGCCTCCCAGAGGGTTCTGTGCTCAGAAACGATACGCAAAGATAACAAGCATCACACTTGCAGTACTAACATGGCTAAGGAGCTCTTGCTTGAGTAAGAGACAGTTCAAACTGTATTTTGGTCCCAGCTTTATGGCCAGAGGAGATAAACCAGTAAAGGAAAAGGTGAGGAGTCTCGTCCAACTCTCCACACAAGTCCCATCCGCGCATCGTTAAGGAGCGCAGGCAAGCAGCCGAGTGGCAGCGGACCGCTGCACCAGGAATGCAGGATCGATCAGGTTTTATTTGCTAGCTTTTCTCCTCGGTGACAAAACACGGCGTTAGCACGAACACATTTCACGAAATGGAAAAAAAAAAAAAAAATAATAAAAAGCGGGCAAAGAGATAACGCCGAAGGCTCGGAGGTGTCTCGTTGTCATGGAAACGAGTCACCAACGAGCTTTCTAAGACAGGCGTGATTAATACCCGAGCCCTGCTTCGATTCGAACCATCGATTCAGAACCCAAACACATACACACGGCACGACCCCAGCAGCCTGGACGAGCAAGGCAGCCGTCCCGGTGCCGCGCGGCCGGGCTGGCAGGAGGCACGCCAAGTTTCCCACAGGCGACCTGGCACGGCTCGGCACGGTTCCTCCAGCCCCTTCCCCTCCCCAAACCCACCCCAGCCCGCTGACCTCTCGCCAAGTCGCTGCCGGGCACAGCTGCTTCCCTCAGCTGTGGGTCGAGCCGGGCGGGTGCGTCAGTGCTCGAGGCAGAGGACGAGGCGCCGGCGCTGAGGAGCCGCCACCTCCGTCGCCATCTCACTGCTCCGCGGCTGCCGCGTCTCCTCCTCTCCCCGCCCGTGTCCCCTCCCTCCCTCTCTCCTCTCCCCGCCCCGGCCCCGGCCAACCGCTCCCCCGCCACCTGCCGATGGCTCTCAGGTGCCTCCTGGCTCTCTCCGGAGCCCAGCAGCGGCTGTCCCGCGTCAGCCCGCCCCGCTGTCCCGCACGGAAACTTCCCCGCCCTCCTCCCTCCTTCTCCTCCTCTCCCGCGGGGCTGCCACCATCGCCTCACGGGAGCCGTGAGGGGGCTGCGGGGCAGGACCGCTCCCCTCAGAGCCCCAGGTAACGGCCAGCCCTGGGGGTTAAACGGCCGGCCCTTTGCTCCGGGATCTCTAGGTAAACGCGGCTCCAAGCGAGGAAGTGAAGGAAGACGTGCGCCGATTTTGAGGCTCAATTGCCTAAAAATGTCAAAACTTTATCCTCCCCCGCCCCCGCACTCTTCTGCCTACAGTCGCGGAGAAGCAGGCTGCCTTAAGCCGGCGACCATAAATGATCTCCCTCGTGCGAATTTGTAATAAAAACTATTTTTCATTTACACTTTAATGCATAAGCCGTGCAAAGCAGGGCGCTCCGCAGACACTGTTGCAGGAGTGATGACTCATGCCCACCGCATGTATGTTATTTACTGTCTGGGGACGCAGCTATATTTAAATAGCTAATCGGTAAAAAATCGGTAAAATATATATTTAATATATTTTAATATATTAATATGCATTTAATATAATATATTAATATATATTTAATATATTTAAATAGCTAATCGGTAAATCAACGGGGATGTTGTAAACTGTCTCCCATCACTGGGATCTTGCTCCTTGACATGTCTTAAGCAATGGTCTAGCATGAAGGTATGCTTTGAATATTCAAGCAACACTTTTTGCACAGGTGGTGCACATGGAAAGGAGCAATCATGGATGTACTTCTGAAATCAAGAGAGAATATAACTTTACCAAATTTAGCCACTTGTTTAAAATCTGAGTTAAATGATTTCAAACATAACTCAAGGTCCCCTGTCAGCTTGTGCTAGTTTCTTATGGTAGTATCTCTCATTACACAGCCACGTAAAACTAGGCTATACTGTCCCATTGGGACTAATTCTTTTACAGACACCAAATAAAACTCATGACTAGGTGGGCTGCTGTTATTTTTTCATAAAATAATTAGAGCACAGGAATTGTGGACCACCAGTTAATCCATTTGTTTTCTTTTTACCCCCTATATTCTGTAGTATTGCTGATTCCTCAATTTAACTCAACCCTGAAAAGACAAGAGCAACAAGCCATTCAATTTTCCTTTCCTTTCCTTTCCTTTCCTTTCCTTTCCTTTCCTTTCCTTTCCTTCCTTTACCTTTCGTTTCCTTGTCCTTTCCTTCCTTTCCTTTTCCTTTCCTTTCCTTTCCTTTCCTTCCTGTTGTCCTTCCCCTCCTTCCTTTCCTCCTTTCCTTTCCCCTTTCCTTTCCCTCCGCTCCCCTCCCTTCCCTCCCCTCCCTCCCCTCCCTTTCCCTCCCTCCCATCCCCTCCCCTCCCCTCCCCTCCCCTCCCCTCCCCTTCCCTCCCCTCCCCCCCTTTCCTCCCTCCCACCCCTCCTTTCTCCCTCCCTCCCCTCCCGGCCTCCCTACCCTCCCTTTCCCTCCCCTCCCCTCCCCCCCCATCCCCTCCCACTCCCCTCCCCTCCCCTCCCCTCCCCTCCCCTCCCCTCCCTCCCCTCCCCTCCCTTCCCTCCCCTCCCCTCCCTCCCTTCCCTCCCCTCCCCTCCCCTTCCCCTCCCCTCCCCTCCCCTCCCCTCCCCTCCCCTCCCCTCCCCTCCCCTCCCCTCCCCTCCCCTCCCCTCCCCTCCCCTCCCCTCCCCTCCCCTCCCCTCCCCTCCCCTCCCCTCCCCTCCCCTCCCCTCCCCTCCCCTCCCCTCCCCTCCCCTCCCCTCCCCTCCCCTCCCCTCCCCTCCCCTCCCCTCCCCTCCCCTCCCCTCCCCTCCCCTCCCCTCCCTCCCCTCCCTCCCCTCCCTTCCCTCCCTTCCCTTCCCTTCCCTTCCCTTCCTTCCCTTCCCTTCCCTTCCCTTCCCTTCCCTTCCCTTCCCTTCCCTTCCCTTCCCTTCCCTTCCCTTCCCTTCCCTTCCCTTCCCTTCCCTTCCCTTCCCTTCCCTTCCCTTCCCTTCCCTTCCCTTCCGTAAGAAGGAAGCTCTCCCTGCATGGACACAGAAATTTGAAGCCAAGCTTGAGAGGGACTTGGGCTTCAGACACTCTTATTTTTTTCTGGGCTTCTCTTTCTATTAGAGTGACGCTCTTTCACTCTCATCCATTTCATTGTTGTAAGTGACCAAAGGAAAAGCTGGAGTCCTCTTTAAATAAGACACAAATGGTTTTGTATTGTTCAAGCCTATTTCCTGAGGAGCAGACATGGTAGAGCATGTACAAGTAGGAGGGGAAAGAGCAGGAGGCAAGGTGTGTATTTTTGTGTGACTTTGTTGAGGAAAGAAATTCTGGACTTTTACTGGTATGAGCCTTCAGCTGGCTTTTTGGTCAGATCTCAAACCCACAGAGCTGAAATGCAGCAAACAGTAGTAGAAAATGCAAATTAGGACAAGAAATGAAAATTAAATCCTGATCAGTTGTTCTGCCATCCCATGCTAATGCCAGATGTAGCAACCAAATGCTTGTGTCCTGATAGCCTCATCATCATCTGCTTCATGCTGTATGGCTCTCTTGCAGTAAGTATAAAATAAAACAAATCTTACATTTTAGGTACCTGGAGGAGACTTTCTTTTTTGTTTGTTTGTTTTTCCTTACATAGCCCCAGGTCTTCCTGCTCTAGCACTCTCATACAATAAAATCTGTTTAAAATCTCAACTTTTACTGTTTAAAATCACAGGTTCTACTGCTGTGTAGACTTAAAGTTCATGCTTTGGTATGGAGAGTGACACTAAATAGAAAAGAGGAGAAGTGAGCGATTTATCTATCAACCCTGCCTAAACCAGTGCTGGAACTGATGTTAGGATCAGTGCTCCTAAGTCTGGTGACAGAGCTCCCATTTAAGCTTGTACTACTTTAAGTTTTCAAATATGAAGTTCTGTAAGAAAATACAAAAGATGGCTGCAATCCAGGCAGCAATTGCTTGTGTATTTGTGGTCTAAAGAAGCCTTGAATGGGAACCTCATTTGGGCCTTGAGATGATGTCACCATAAATAGTATAATCACAAAAAAGCATAGCACCACTATTCATATATTCCTCCTCCTTTCTCCTCAGGCTCACCTCCCCCCCCCAAAAAAAACAAAAAAAATCAGAGGAAAGCACTATGTTAAAGCTCACCACATCTGAGCAGCTATTTTATTATTTTAGCCACTTACGGACCAGATATGGGAAGGTGCCATTGACTCCGGGAATGGCAAGCTTGCACCCAAGGCTTTACATTACAGAACCTTGCACAGAAGCAGACAGGGCAGAGGCCAAATGTAACAATCTGCATGCATGAGTTATGCATAAAGATAATCTTATATGTAAGCTCTAGTGGGACTGACCCCAGATTTCGCAGGGTTTCATCAGTGAAGATCATGCTTTGTCAAATCCAACAAGGATGTATAGTTCCATCCTTGGAATTCCACACATTTTCACCCTCTGTGTAACTGCTAACATAGACACAGCTTTTTTCCTGTGCCACGCAAGGGAGTCTTAATAATGCATTATGAGTTCAGAGGTATAGCACATGTCAGTATCAGACTCATTCTTGAAGTGGCTGATTCACTTTTCCTAGTACTTTAAATAGCTTTAACTGGACTGTCAGGACACGGAACACACAGTGTTTCCATGTAGTATTTGGAAAAGAGAGAGTCGTCAAGTATTCCTTCAGCCATCTTTCATAACTCATCTTTAAGTATTATCTAGGGGGAGTTTCCATGAATTTTTTTGTGATGCACTTGCATGCTAACCAGGTACACCCATGGCACTAGGTGCTACCAGATGAGAAGTGTTGACATCTGTAGAGAATTAATAGTCAGAGTGCTGACTGCCAGCAAGGAAGTCCAAACTCAGGTGGTTTGGACGTGGCTCTGACTACCACATGGTTCTGAAAGATTGACAAAGATGTTTTTCAAAACCAAACGTCAAGGAAATGACTCAGGGAGAGACCTTGCTAGATGTCCAAACTGTGTATGTACATATATATATGTATGTGTTATTTGCAGGAAGAAACTGATACTTAAAACTGATACTTAAAAAGTGGATGAGAATCAAAAACGCTGGCATATACCGTAGGTTTACTGGAGCCAAGAGTTTGGAAGACCTAGCTACAGCAGGAACATTTTGCTATTGTTTTAATTTGCTCGGGTTTCCAGGAGCTAAAAAAAAAAAAAAAAAAAAAAAGGTAAAACAATACTTAGTGATAATAACATACACCACACAGACACATTATGTGCACATTCACACAAATATATGTGTACTTTCAAGCCCTTATCCAGGGAAGCAGAATGGTTTGCAACATCATGGAGCACTAATGGCCCTGCTGTGCTAGCTTGTGGTAAGGACTTGTACTGATTCACCTCAGAACTCACCTCAGAATACATACCAGTGTGTGGAATTGGCATTAATCCTATTATCAAGGATGGAAGGACATTCACTCCTCCTCCCACAGAGCAGTCGACTGTGAATTCGGGATGCGTTCTCCATTTGATTGCTAAGCAAGTCAGACTGCAGCACCTCTCTCCCACTCGCATGCACCCCTGCCAGCTGCTGTTCAGGAGGCAAAGACAGGAGGATAACTATTTTTGTGGAACAAAATAAAAAATATTGGCTATTCCTTTGTGTACACAGTGGGTTATGCTACAACACCTGATGCTTAAAGCCTATTAGCACTGTCATAGAAATATGCAATGGGTTGGTTATCCCACAGTAGCCATGTGAGGCCATCACTAGCCTAGCTGTATCTCTTTTTTCCCTTAGATACTTTTCTCTCTTTCTCTTTCTACTGATTGCCTAGGAGAAAATGTGCAATTTCTATTGTTCCCAAAAGGTTAATAGATCTGTGCTTTTTGACTGTAGAGCAGAAGGAGGAGAGCTGG